CCTTCCAATGCTACATCATCGTTGTGAAGGTACCTGCATGCAGTCCCATATTTACAACCACCTTGATTGTAATACAGACACAGCCGACCTTTTGGCTCACCCGACGTAGGCTCACCCTTTGATGCACCTTTGCCAAAATTGTACTTGGCCCGGAAGGCTAAATCCTCCCGCTCCTGCTGTGCCTCATCCACTGTACCTTCCTCTGTGGGAGGGTCACCGATGTTCCCGTCCTCATCATCAGCTTCTTGGCTATTCTTTGGATCAGTTGACCCCCCTTCTGGCCAACCTTCACCGTACCGACGATGCTCATAGGGACACCCATCGCCATTGCGACACCTTCCCTTATTGAAGAACCTGCACAGCTTGCTGTAACCAGGTGACAACACCGTCTTTGGTGTCATGTAAGCCTTTTTGTACTGGTCAGGATCCATGTAGGCTTCCATTGGCTTGTTCTCCCTTTTGCTCGTGGATTGCACTGCACCATCAAGCTCCTGCAAAAATAGCTTGGTGTCCAACCAAAGCGCGTTCCAAAACTCATCTTCCCCTTGATTCAGCACCGTTGCCACCGCTTCACCCACAACTGGTCGAGAAAATCTCCTTTTTCTGCATGCCAGTTCGAAAAGCGCGTTGTGGTACTGTTTTCGGGAAAAAGTGGTTAACTTCCCCAAGCCTGTGCTTTCTGTACCATCAGGCTTCCAACCATCATTTTGCAAGATGCCATACGCGCGCCGAGCTTCCGCATTGAGGAATGCCTGATCCGCAACACACTCCTGTAAATCTTCCATCGGCCGACCTAACAGCATCCCAGTAATTTTGCCAACATAGGCTTCCTCTTCATTTCCATTCTCCAGAAGAGCTTTGTAGATCTTTTCTCCATAAAGTTGCCTTTCTTTTCGTTCTTCAGAAGACAACTCCTGTACCACAAGCTCTTCATCGGATTGCTCTTCCTCCTGTTTCCAGTCCCATTGACCGTTGGAATCTTGGTACCATTGACCAGCATACCATGAATCCGTCCACCACGTACTCCAGCCGCTGGGTTTCCACTTCCGCAGCGTCGAAGAAGAGTCCTCCACGTCCTCTTCCAAAACCAGAAAGGTGTCCAAGATTATGGTACCATCATCTTCCACTCGTTTCACTGTTCCATTGACAGTATCACCAAACTTGAACTGATATGCATTGTTCCCTTCTGCAGGAATCAATACATTCATATCCCCATGGTCCAAAAAGGCTCCATACCCATTGATGCAGCGCACCAGACCCATGATCTCATCTCCCTCTTGATAGCAATGTGGCCCAGGTGACTCCAAGGCTCCCGCTCGGGGCACTTTCTTTACACGCTCTTCAGAAACCATCTCTGTATCATCGGCTCCTGGCGCATCCTTTGTCTTCACCTTTGGGTCACACTGCTCGTCCTGCTCCACGAGTCCCACAAGCTCATCTTTTTTGTGCTCCTGGATTTCAGGACCTCCCTTTTTCTCCGCCAACGGCTTTGCCTCATCTGCTGTAGTTCGCTCGGTGTCGACTTCCGGTGAACTTCCAGACGGCAACGCTTCTCCCTTCATGGGAGTGGACCCATCATTGGAGTCCTTTGTCTCACCTTCTGCAGCAGGCAAATCTTCTTCCACTGCAGGGCAATTGAGTCGATCATCCGCGGCAGGCACGCTTTCTTCCACCGCAGGCTCCTTTGGTTCCATGGCCTCCAAAGGAGAATTTCCACCATCATTGACCACAGCTGCCTCATTGGCTCCGGTGTAGCCCTTGTCATTTCGTTCCTCGCTGCTAACTTCAGGTTGCACCAGTGCGTCCACCTGTGAACCTCCATCATCAGCTGCTGCGGAGACCTGCGCCCCATTGTTGCAGTCGCCCGTGGAACGTACCACCACATGCACCTCAACCCGTGCTTCCTTCGCACTCCAGGTAATATCTGGCGCATCAACCCGCGCATCATTGGCGCTCCAGGCCTCATTTTTCAGATCATCCGTGTCTCCAGCTATTCCAGAAGCTTCTTTTTCCCCTTGAATGGCAGAATTCTTGGCACCAAACGAAGAGACCTCCTCAGTCGTAACACACAACTTTTTCTCTCCATCCTCCGAATCTCCAGGACCACCTTCCTGAACAACAGGTACCACATCCACCACTCGCTCTTCTGCAGCCGACACAGTTCCGATCACCTCATTGGGCATTTTCTCTTCTGGATCCACCAATTCCATCGCTGCCCCACCCTCAGAAAGCGCTTCTGTTTCTTCCCGATCCAGGTGTTGAGCTCCAGCGATGTTGGCTTGGTTCCCAGGAATCCCTTCCTCATCAGGAGAACCCGGGGTCGGGGCGTCACCATCAGCCCTAGGACCGCTATCCCTGATAGTAGAGGAAAAATCTTTTTCACCTAAACTATTTACACTACCCTGGAATGCCCTCGTAGACTCAGTCTTCGGAGTAGAGGATGAAGAATCCAGTGCCGCCTCCATTTCCAGCTCATTGCCCAAAGGAGACCCAACCACCTCGTCACTCTTCACCTTTTCACCTACCACCGGCAATGTCCACTTGGTTTCGTGCGTATCCAGGCAGTAATAATATTGTCTCCCATCTTCATGGAGGTGCAATTCCCACATTGTGCCATCACACGCTTGGATCAGATGCTCGTCTTTCCGAAAACCGTCCCTTTCAGAAACCTGTCGCATCTCGTCCTCTTCTTCTGACAGCTGTCGCAACCGTTCAGCCTCCATCTGTAGGATCTCCTCCTCCCCCATGGCGTATTCAGCAGCAGGTGCAGCTTCAAAGCCGTCCGCACCCTTCTGTTTGTGACCGCTTCCACCACCTTGGGAACTCGAAGATGGACCCTTTTTGATCTTGTTCAACGGCCTCCTGGTCGCTTGTAGCACTTCTCCAATCAGATCGGTCTGAGACTCTTGGTCTACCATTCGACCCGAAGTCGAAGACGACGGCTGGTACCCGTGTTTGTGTAACACTCGTAAAACAGTCACCTCCATTTCACGATCTATGCCACCAGTCGCATCCCAGTTCCTTTTTTCACCAGGCTTTGGCGGTACAGAAACAGCACGTCCTTCAGCTTCAGCATTGCTAACCATATCCCTATTGGGATTCATACCCGCATTGGGGCTTTCTGCAACCAAGGCCTCTTCCAGATGTACTTCAGCGTCGGGAATCACCTCTTCCAACACCGATCTTTCACCCAGAGACTCAGCTGCACCATTTCCAGCTCCACCATCTTGTCCACCATCCGAGGCAAGTTGGAGCCATCGCTTCGGAGAAGGCATTGCTTCTTGATCCCAAAACCTTGAAAGAACACTTAACCGCAGGGAACCTAATTTGGGCTCATAACCTACGGGGGGACAACCAAGGAAGGAAATCAACTCCCCTAATCGCCCTGAACTTATATTTCCCAGATCGAACCAAGAAACAACCAAGAACACGGATAAGAGCAACCCAGGGGGGAAGGAAAGGGGGAAGGAATCCACACCCTTACCAAACCCTAAGAACCCAGGCACTACTTTTTGAACTTGTGGCTTTCTGTTCAAGCCCATCTTGAGCCAAATACGATTACCGGGTTCATTAACCCTTCCAACTTCCAACACTAACTCCTTTCTACAATACCAATTGCAGCTCCGCATAGGGTTTAGGGTTTGGGGTTCATAGGGGGGGGGGGGGTAGGTACCCATACGGGGTAGTGCGGAGTATTTGGGAGCCCTGGGTTACATACCCCCCACCCCCCTTGGAACCCGACTTCTTTCAGGACCCTATAAGATCGGTCTGCCTCTTCGGGTACGGCTGGTGCTTTCCTCTTCTTCCGAATGGGCGCCTTGTCCTCCCATAGTTTAGGGTTTAGGGTTTAGGGTTTAGGGTTTAGGGTTTAGGGTTTAGGGTTTGGGGCTCAGGGCGCAAGCATTCATCCCACATCCTCCGGCAAGAAGCCCGAAACCTGGAGCCAAAAGCCGCAGATCCCCGAAGCTGGAACCAACAAGGCGCCTGCCCTAAGGGGTTTTGGAGGCTTTAGGGTCAGACCGTGAACCTGCAGGCTCCCAAGGCCAGGACGCTGTCCCCAAACTCTAACCCTAGACCCTAAACCCTAAGACGCTGTCCCACACTCGAACCCACCCTAAACCCTAACCCTACACCCTGAACCCTAAAACCTAAACCCGAAAACCCTAAACCCTAAACCCTAAACCTTATAAACCCTAAACCCTAACACCCTAACACCCTAACACCCTAGACCCTAAACCCTAAACCCTAAACCCGAAACCCTAAATCCTAAACCCTCCATAGGCATGTCAGGACTGAAAGGCAGGCCGGGCTTGGCCTTTTGGTAAGGCGTGTGCTTTGGGATGTTCCCCCTCATAGTAGCAGGGATGTTTCCCCCTTATACTATTAGGGTTTAGGGGTTTAGGGTTTAGGGCTTAGGGTTTAGGGTTTAGGGCTTCGGGCTGAGGGTTTAGGGTTTCCTTCCTAGGGATGTTCTAGTACCCCCGATTCGAACCACTATGAAGGACTGCTAGTATAAGGTCACAGTCCGTAATAGGGATTTTCCAGTACCCATCTTCCAATCCCTATTAAGGACTGTTAGTATAAGGGGGAACACCCCAGAGTGTCCCCCCAATATGACAATCAAGTTGTGCCGTCCCCCCACTCCCTTTGCGCAGGAAGGGCAGGGTAGGTTTTGGGAACGAACCCCAAATAGCTGCCCACCGAGTCCGCGACTGGCCGAACTTCTTTGAAAAGACTGGGCCTCAGATTCGCCAAGGCATGACAAACTTTGGCAACTACTTGAACCCTACGAGGGTTCGTAGCAGGTTTCTTGTAGTATAGGGCATCGTAGTAGAGAGCAATATGATATCCTAACACATGCCGAGACATCGGTGTTGCATGCTGGTGCGGAGGGCTCACACTGCACAGCTTGGCACCTTTCGGTTTTCAGAAGGGGGGGGATAGTAGGGGGGGGGGGGGGGGGGGGTGGATTCTGGCAAGACCGGGGGGAGGTCGCCTTCTTAGGAGCCTTTGTTGCAAAAGCCGAGGCAATGGATGCCGTCTGGGCGAGTCATGGATGCGCTGTACAAGTAGCCTGCTTCGCCCAGATGGCTCCAGCCGCGCATTGCCGGGGGGGGGCCTTGTCCCTCATGGAGATCTGTCCTGGGCTCCCTTCCCAAAGAGCCCAATACTCCTTAATTAAGGAATATACCTTAAATCATATTAAGGATCCCTATATAAATTAAGCAAAATATTTCCTAATTAAGGGATATTGGGCTCTTTGGGTTCACCACCTCCTGCTCCACGAGGTGCCACAGGAGGTCCACGTCCTTTGGGCAGCGGAGCCGCACGAGGAGCTGCTGCGGATAATCTTGCCGGAGCCGCAGGACCCTTTCTGCCATCAGATGATGCCTTGTGAGCACGTAGTAGATGACAGAGTCCTTGGTCAGCAGCAAGCCTGGATGCTCGTAGTTCCCGTTGCAGCACTCGACGCGGCAGATGGTGCGGTAGGCAGTGCGCCAGAAAGCGCGGCCCAGCACTATGAAGAAGTCGAGGTCCAGCCACACGACAACCTCGATATCCTCCCACACAAGCCTTTTCGTGGTTTTCAGGCCGTAGTTGCCATCCACTGTAAATCCACCGCATGCCTACCCAGGGCCTATGCAAAACTCACTCACGCGCTAGGGAGCTAGATACTACAGGGATCACACTGAAAGTTAGCCCACCCTACTTCTGAGCACACAATATAGGGGCCTTAATGAAGAGAATAGGGTTTTGGGGGGTTAAGGTGGTATAATCATGTAGGGACCCTAAGGAAAAACTAGTACCATTTGTAAGTATTCCGACCCCTACATTAACCTTCCCCTTGTCATGCTTTTGCTCCCGGGCGCGCCTTCGCCTCCTCAAGCTCCTTGGACAGGATCTCATCGAAGTCTTCGCGGTCGCGCAGCTGCCAGCCAGGGAGCCATGCCAGGCGGTCCATGTCAATGTAGCGCACGCCTGGGGGATTTAGGGTTTAGGGTTTCGGGTTTAGGGTTTAGGGTGCAGGGTTTAGGGTTTGGACCAAACGAGCCTGAAAATTGGGGTCATGTAACCCTATACTACGATATTGCCTATTGAAGTACATTAACCATACACCCTTTTAGGGGTCATTTGGTCCTCGAGGCGCCCTTGATCTTGGCGAGCATGGTTGCAAGGGTCGACTTACCACTGCAGGAGCATCCCACCACGGAGATGCGCTGCTTGCGCGCCAGGGCAGTGGCGGCCGCCTGCAGATCGGACAGCTGCGCGCGCGGGCTCCGGCGCCGGACGAGGACTCGAATCACAACATAGCCGACTGCAGCGGCCAGGGGCGATAGCAGACAGATCCGCATTGCAGGCATGCTCTGCACCCTAAACCCTAAACCCTAAACCACTTAGATGCAGGGTGAATGATGATGGCTAGAATGACTCGCTGGAGCGTGACTGATGAATCCGTGGATTTCTTGATGTGTGACACAGGATTTCCACTTGCATCTGAGCTAATAAACAAAGCTGAAGAGAGCAGCCAAAGTCAAGGTGAAACCCATGGACTTAAACTTAAGCCCCTCATGGCAGCCCAGACGCTTCTTCAAGGCCTTCTGCAGATTCCGAAGCTTTGCCTCGCGGGCAATGATTTGCTTTCTGGTTCTTGCTTGCTGTCCAAACCTCTGCGCCCCGAATTGTAAAACTCTTCTTACATAAAACTCTATATACATATATGTATGTATAATACACATATATATATATTTTTCTCCGATGCTGGGAATACTTCGAATTATTTGGGGGTGGGACGTGGGGCGCGCGCGCCCAACCCCGGTTTGAGGATATAGGTTGAGGGCCGGGAATGCCAGGGGGATGATGGCTGGAATGCTCGGCCGTTGAGGGATTCTCGTCCTTGTGTGCGGAGCCTTGCCCTGTGGAAGAAACCCGCCTGAACCCTAAAACCTGACAACCCTAAACCCTAAACCCTAAACCCTGAACCCTAGTACTCAGCAAATTGGTAACAACGGCAATCGGCCCGTGCCTTATCTCCATTGCATCTTTGCCGGAGATTGGCTTCGCTGTACACCTGATGCTCATGGTGGTCGGGACACCATTCGCAAGAGGAGAAGCATCCCGTAAACCCTAAACCTACTCATTGTGGCCGGGACACCATTCTAGGTCCCTTCAGGGTGAAGTGGGCCCCTATCCCTTCATAGGGGGCTGATCTGACGCGTCAGGACTGTGAAAGAAGTCTGTCAACTTTAAGTAGGCTAAACTTGAAACCCAAAGCACCACTGGACGGTTTGGGATGTTCTCCCTTACACTAACAAGTCCTTAATCGAACCCCAAACCCAGAACCCTAAACCCTGACCTTATTATGCTTCTCAGCAAACACAAGACACCACGGGACAATGTGCTGAAAATTGTCTGCTTGAAGGCCTCCAAGAATGACACAACCTTGCCTACAGACCCTGCACTTCAGACAAACAGGGTTCAGGGTCTAGGATTTGATTTGGGTTTAGGGTTTTGTTGTCCTGAACCGTGAAGCCTGGACCTTGAATGCTGAACCTCTGAAAAACTAAATCCTGCACCCCTGCGCCTCCCCAATGGCCCGCCTTCTTGAGCTGCAGCTTGAGGCCAAGGTGTGGGTAGTCTATTACCTCCACTTGGAGGTTCAGGGTACTTCGTAGCCCAATTAGAACGGCACTTAAAGCCCAACTATAACCCCTATTAGGGTTCATCAGGGGTTTCTATGTGGGTTATAGCTACACTTATACTGGGTTACTAAGTACCCTGAATACTAAGTACCCTGAACCTCCAAGGGGTCTCAGGGCTCAGGTGGGGATGGCCACCCCCATATCCGAGAAGGGTGAAGACCTGTAGGCTTCCGTTGCCTCCCTCTCAGTAAGACAAGCCCTCAAAACGCAGAGAGCTCTTCCAAAGACTCTTGCAAAGACTCCAAGGAGCCTCGCTTGCCCTTTTTTGCTTAAAGGGGTTGATAAGGGAACCTAAACCCCAACAAACAAGGGAACAAGGGTACCTCTACTGGGCATACTGGCCACCCGAAGTCAAACGGCCCATGCACCGGGTTGATTTAGGGCTTATAGGGCTGTCGGGCCCGAATTGAACCCTAAGCCCTAAACCCCAAACCCCATTAACCCTTTATGACAGCCCCCCCCCCCCCCCCCTCCCCGAAAGAACGAGCCGGAAGATAGTCGCAGCGAGTATAAGCTGAAATGGAAGTTTTGAAGCTTGGGCCCAAAAGTCCCGAAATAGGAGGTGCTTTAAGTCCCAAGTCTTCCCTATCTAGATACATGGACCCTCAGGGTATGCAAGTATGGCCCAAAATAAGGATGCTCAACAGAGACACTGAGACACACCGACCAACGTGTATTAAGGAACCCTGTACATAGCAGAAAAAACAAGAAAAAACCTGTTGACCCACCAAGCTGATTCGGGAACCTCTATACACTCACCAATAACACTAGTAAGAAGCCTGTCGTGGATTCAGCAAGTGTTAGACTAACCCTAAACCCTAAACCCTAAACCCTAAAACCCTACATCTGCTCACCCCGAGCCTCGAAGCGGCGCTGAGGTGCCTCCTGCAAAGGAGGGCTGTGTAAGAGGGCTTTCGGGCGGCAGGTTGCGATGTTGCCCCCTTCTACTAACAGTCCTTAACACCCTAAACCCTAAACCCTAAACCCTAAACCCTAAACCCCGGGATTATAATGGGGGGGTACGAGAATCCCTGTTAAGGACTAATCATAGAACGGGAAACATCCCAAGTGCCTTTAGGGCACGGAAGGCACGAAATGTAAAGAAGGATACAAAGACTCATCATCTATCTGAAAAAAGGTAGGTGCATGAACTTGTTGTGACCTTTTTGGGGGGGTTGGGCCGGGCTGGGAGTGTAGGTTCGCCGAGCTTGAAGGTCTCCCACAATGTGCAAAGTAATGGCCTTGTTTCATGGGTTTTGGGGCTATTTGCATGCGTACTTTGGGGATTCAGGTTTTGGGAGGGTTAGAATACTCGCAAACGGCCCACTCCTCGCCGTCGGCGGCGTCCCCTGATGGGGGGGGGGGGGGGGGGTTAGGGAGAGCATGGCTACCCCTACACTCTGAGTATTTCTGCACATATGATATATACATGTTATATGTATGTGTATAAGATGAAGCCTAGACCCATTAAGGTCCCACATCTCCACACTCCTCATAAGCTTAGGGCAAAAGAAGCCCTGTACACTCCTAATGGAAACAAGCACCCAAGCGCATAGGCCCTCAAACCTGAACCCTGTAGACCCCTTGCGGGAGTCAAAGATTTCAAAAGTGCTTATAACCCAAACCCAATCCTCAGCCGTCTTTCAAGCACACCTGCAGACCCAAGGAACAGCTCAACCTTGTCACTGACCCAAGCCCCAATACCGGAATAAATCGTAAACCCTATTAAACGCCTAACAAAAAAGTCCGATTTTAAGCCCTAACCCTTAATCAACCCTTAACCCCAATGCATGGGGTTGCAACCCTAAACCCTTATCCCTTCACCCTAAACCATACACCCGAGATCAACCCGAAACCACCAACTCAACCCTAGTAGGCTGGGGTCGCCACCGTCAGCGTCGGTGGGAGTGGACCCCTCCGGCCTCGACTAGGGTTAAGGGTTTAGGCCTGAGGGGTTTAGGGCTAGTAGGGTTAAGGGTTTAGGGCTAGTAGGGTTTAGGGTTCAGGGCTAGTAGGGTTTAGGGTTTAGGGCTACTAGGGTTTGGGGTTTAGGGTTCAGGTGGAGGCTTGAGGGTTCGTAGGTTGCCCGCGCTAGGATTACATGGAAGGGTCCTACCTCGTCGCATGGCAGCATGGAGAGATCTTGCTGGAAAACCTTTCTGCCATCCAGCCGCTTGCACTTCACAGCTGCGCCCTTTTGCTGCGCCAGGGAGTGTCACAAATCAATTTCGGGGGGCGTAAGGTTCAGAATTCAGAGTTCTCGAGGCGTCGGGTTCCGGGTTGTTGGGCTGGGTATAGGGGTGTCTGGGGCTCAGGGTGTAGACTTTAGGAAAGCCCAAAACCCTGAACATCGAAACCCTAAACCCTGAACCCTGAACTTTAAGCCCCTAAACCCTACCCGGCCCTACCCAAAGTCCCCAAAGTCCCCGAAGTCCCGAAGTCCCCAAAAACCCCAAAGTCCCCCAAAGTCCCAAATAAGATCCCTAAACCCCAAACCCTAAACCCGAAACCCTAAACCCTAAGTCCCCAAAGCCACGAAGAAGCGCTAAGCGTCGGACGCCTCGGCCTCGTCGGCAGAGCCGTTGGCCTCCTGCCGTCTTTTGGTCTCTTGAGGTTTAGGGTTTAGGGTTTAGGGTTTAGGGTTTAGAGTTTAGAGTTTAGAGTTTAGGGCTTGGTGTTTAGGGTTTGGGGTTCAGGGTTTGGGGGACTTCTCGACAGGGTTCTCTGAGGGTTTCTCCGGCTGCAGGGCCCCTAGTCTGGGCCCTGAATTTGTTGGGTCCTTATATACCTCTATTCCATAGCCAAAGAAGGTAAGACACTCCAAGGCCAATTTGAGGAGAAAACACTTCCAAGACCTTATAAGGACCAATGAACCCTACAATACGGTTCAGGGTTCATATGTACCCTAATAGGCATTATAGTAGCATAGGGTATATGGTCCCCCAATTTGAGGGTTCACGCGGTCCCAAAAGGGAGCGCCCAAGACCATTTCAGGATGCACTGAAGGCGCACGGGACCGAGGAGAGAGGCATTTGCAAAAAACCCTAAACCCTAAACCCTAAACCCTAAACCCTAAACCCTAACCCTAAACCCTAAACCCTAAACCCTTAAAAGGGAAGTACGCGGCCATACTCTCGCAACACAGGGCGACGCAAACCTGAAAAGTGCAAACGGGACCAAAAATAGGGGCCTTAAATCATTAGAATTGGTTTTCTTGTGTGCTTTTTTTGGGGGGGGGGGGGGATTATAATCGTATTAATACAAAGGGACCATATAGGGAAATACTACGAGTAATTCTTCCGACCCCTACCGCCGAGGCTGGCAGCTGCGCGGCTGTGTCCAGCATTCTCGGCTTGGGGAGCTTGCGGGCGTCGCCAGTTGGGGGGGGGGGGGGGGGGGGGGGGGGGGTTAGGGTTCAGGGTTTCTAGGGTTTAGGGTTTAGGGTTTAGGATGTTTCGATATTAGGGGGGGGGGGGGGGGGGTACCTTATTAGGGATCCTTTCTTCGAAGGGGATCCTGCGATTTGGGGCTCCAGATTGGGGGTCTCCTATGTTTGTGAACCCCCAGTTGCTGCTGGTCATAGCCCAACTCAGGACGAGTGCCCGGAGAGTGCTTTAGAGCAAACCGCGCGTTTTAATATGTTGCCCCAGATTGCGTTCTTGAATTACAGGGGGCCGCAACTTCAAGAAGTCCCCTAAACCCTAAACCCTAAACCCTAAACCCTAAACCCTAAGCCCGAAGCCTCCCCACAGCTGTGTGCATTTAAAACCTTCATAAACCTGCGATAGCCCGAAGGCTAACCCTCATGCTAACCCCACATGACCCAGGCTCTGAACCTTGATAAACCCTGCAAGAACTCAAAAGCCCCGAATGATGGAAAGTCCAAACTACGGAACTTACAACCCCCTAAGCTCTAAACCTTAAACCCCTAAACCCGCTGCAAACCCCAATAGACCCTCCAAACCCTATTGCCCCCCAAAAGCCCTGAAGACCCGCTCCTTGTCTTTGGCCTTTGCCTTCGCTTTGGCCCGGCCCCGGCCCCCTGCGCGCGGGCAAGAAACTCCCAAGGTGTCCCCCAACCGTCCCGAAGATTTATCTTATTGGTTTAGGGCTTAAGGTGTCGGGTCTAAGCAAAGACCTGAGCCCTCAATGTACTTGCAATAATGGCCTCCAGCCTCAAGTTCAACGGTGGATGTACACAGTTCTTCTGGCTGAGTTGAAGGTCTAGAAGCCCTACCTAAACCCTAAACCCTAAACCCCTAGCTACTCCCTAAACCCCAAGCCCCAAATCCGAAACCCTAAACGCAAACCGACACTCAGAGGCCTGCCCTCTGGGGCCATCAAGGGAACCCTGCGAGGTCCTGTGCCCATTCCGGTGTTGAGGTTTAGGGTTTAGGGTTTAGGGCTTAGGGTTTAGGATTTCGGGTTTAGGGTTACCTGAAGAACCCGCAAGAAACCTCCATTTTTTTTCGCAGGTGATTACTAGAAAACCCCCTGATAGGATTCCTAGGTAACCTACAAAGGTAGTATAGGTTTCGGGGTTCTTAAGGTAGGGCTTGTGGGGTTATGGGGTCATGAGGTTGTAGGGTTTTTATAGGGCTGCAGGGCACAGAGAAGGAGCCGGGCGCGGGACTCAACGATTTCAAACCGGGTAGAAGGAGGGGGGGGGGGGGGGGGCGGCGCTTTGGTGGTGCTTTCTGTGGGATCGGCCGAGGAGATCTACTGGAGCTTCGGAGCCTGCGTGCTTTGAGGTTGCGTCCCCGCCTTTGCCCTTGGCCATGATCGCTGGTGGTATGTGGATGCTTTGCAAAGGTAGCTTTCTACTGAACGCTTCAGGCTTAGAGGTTGGTATAGCCGCAACCACTAGTCCTTGTAAACAGGAGTTGCAGCGGGAAGAGTGCACAAGCATGCAAAAGGGAATGCTGTGCCTGTGCCGCGAGTCGGAGTTCTTGGTTTTGGGTTTTGGGTGAGTAGTGGGTCTTGTGAAGTGTGTGTGAGATAGAGAGAAGCAGAGAGTGCAAGTGTCTGGACTTCGGTACTTGCACTATCCATGACATGCCGCCAGCTGATGTGGCGCCTGGCAGATCCGAAAGCTGCGCGTTTACGGTTTACGTGCTGGTTCTTGGTAAGGAGTTAGGGCAGTAGGCTCGCTACAACAGCCTGAAAAGGTTATATAGGCATGTAAAAGGTAGAGCCAGGAATAACGACATTGCAATCCTGCCCAGCTTGTTCTTTATGTTCCCAAGCAACGTAGGAGGAACAAGGGTGCCACCTTTGTCTTTGCCGTTAGCATGTGAGGATATACAGGATTATTTACCCGGGATAGGGGTATTACGGGCACCGAGTTGACCTGTGTTTAGGAGTCAGGGTTTAAGGATATAAGGACATGATTGAGAGAACGCCCCCGACCCCCCTCCCCCTACCCCCCCTGCGCCCTCTCCCCCCCCCCCCCCTACCCGTCCTAACCCCCCCATGTGTAGTGCGTGTGTGTGTGTGTGTGTGTCTGTTTTGCAAGGGCTGCACTCTCATCTCAGCTCATGGAGTTGAAGAAGTACACACGGTAGACCAGGAAGATGGTGGCCTTGGCACCAGGCTGCAGGGGTCCCTTTTGAAGGGTCTCATTCCTAGTGTGGGAGCCTCATAAAAAACGGACCCCTCAAAAAGGACCCCAGTTTGGAGAACGACTCATATCGCTTCAGGACCGGTCCTGCTCCCTTCCTGAACTCTGAATCCTAACCGGACACCTACTATAGGGGGCAAACAGAATAGGGTTTTGGGGGGTTACTATGGTACAATTATAAGGGGACCACAAGGGAACACTGTTAGTAATTGTTCCGACCCCAATATTCCATAACCCAACACATGCTGCAACCATGAAAAGACTCCCCGTGGCCTGCGCGGCACCGAACAGGCCGAGCACCTTCCACTTCAAGGACGGTGCCTTGAACATACTGAAGGAAAGGCCATGGAAGGGAGGGTTTAGGGTTTAGGGTTTAGGGTTTAGGGTTTAGGGTTTAGGGTTTAGGGTTTAGGGTTTAGGGTTTAGGGTTTAGGGTTTAGGGTTTAGGGATCTTGTTTGAAGCTCTCCGGGGGCTTAGCAGCAAGAAACCTCATCATGAGTCCTTCTTCGTCCTCTTCCTTGGAGTTTGGACCACGCCATCGTGCGTGGCTTTTTTAGGTCGAGGGTTGTTTAGGTCGAGCCTTAATCATTAGAATAAGGCTTTGGGGGGGCTATTATAGTGCAATTACAAAGGGACCCTAAGGGAATCTTACAAGCAATTATTCCGACGCCTATATTATAGGGTTTATTTGGGGCCATGATGAGGCATCCTCTGGGCCATGCGAGGGCACCCGCGCATCAAAGTCCCAAGAGGGTTTAGGGTTTAGGGTTTAGGGTTTAGGGTTTCGGGTTTTTTGGCCCCAGCAAGCCAAATTCACATTCCCGATACTTAAACTTTCAACTTGGGCTGTTCCCCCCTTCACTCACAGTCACAGTCCTTCCTTCATAGGCCTAACTAAGGACTGTTCGTATAAGGGGCAACATCCCAACTTTCAACCTTGATCCCGATACACAGGAGCCTGAAGCGGCGAACCTAAATTTGGGACCGGACTGCTCTTGACGCCTCTGTGTTGAGACTAGAAATGCGCAGGGGGGGGGGGGGGGGGGCCCTATCCGACGATGTGTGCGGATGGCGTGTCCGGCCCTAAAAACCTCAACCCTAGCCTAAACCCATCTGCCTCCACTGCCAGATCTGCTGAGAGTGTGCCCCAAAGAAAAGCCTCAGCTTCACTTGTTTGAGGGGCTGTATCGGTTCTGCGGGGCCAATTATGCTACTATTTGCATATTATAAGAACCCCCCCCCCCAGAAAGGGCCAAGTTTACTACTGTTTACATAAAGAACCCTAAAAAAAACACATTATCAGGGCACTATAGGGATGATTTGCCTTAACTGCTTTGGGGCTCGTGCAAAGAGTAGTAGGTTACAGATACTTGGTAGACCAGTAACCATATCTTTATGAGGGCACCCTTTTGGGGTTGGTTATTCTATACGGGAAACCAGAACCAAACAACAGTAAAAAAGTAAAGGGCACCACGGGGCTGCCGAGGATAAGAAGTCGTTGCTCTACTTTCATGCAGCCTAGGTGTGGGCGCTTGACATCTTGGGCTCCGATCCTTCGGGTGCCCCGCCCATCCCCCGCGGGGTTAGGGTTTAGGGTTTCGGGTTTAGGGTTTAGGGTTTAGGGTGTAGGGTTTAGTGTTTAGGGTTTAGGGCCCCCTCCCCTCATCCCATCCCTCCCCTCCCAAAAATCCCCACCACCCCTGACATGGAACTGGTTCTCCGAGCCTAACACAGCAGGCTCTAACAAACTCTCGGAATTGGGTCTAACAGGACCGAACCGCGCGAAGTGCGGGCTCCCCGTCAAAAAAAACATGCCGGCCGAAGGGCCAGCGAGATGCCCAGACCGGCCAGGACTGCGATCCACCGGAAGAAGCTGTTCCTCGGCATTGCACCGGGCCGAGACCGACACCCCGAGGTGCCCACAAAAATCCCAAGAAATGGAACGGATCGAAGCCCTAAACGCCCCAAACCCCAAGCCCCCCAAAATCAAGCCGCCAGAAGCCCTAAAGAGCCCTATGAGCCCAAAAGCCCTCACCCTCAAAACCTAACCGCCAGAAGCCCTACGAGCCTAAAAGCCGACCCCCCCCCCTTCTCCACCCTCAAGGGCCCTCGAGGGCTTGCAGAGCTGGGGGTATTTAGGGCTTTTGGGGACTGTTTTTGCGGGTCGAGCGGTTCAGAGTTTCGGGCTTACTGTGAGGGTCGGCGGTCTGGGCTATAGTGTAGTGCAGCCAGTGCAAAGCCTCGGCTAACGGCCTCGAACCCCTGATGCTGAGAATGCCAAAACTACGCCATTCATTGCACCAACTGTTTGGGATGGTCCCCTTATACCAACAGTCCTTACTAGGGATTATAATAACCCCCCCTAGTATGATCCCTATTAAGGACATGTAGTATAAGGGGGAACATCCCAAGAACTGTTCATGTTGTGTGAGCTGATCCCCTGCTCCTGTCAGTGGGAGGGAACCCCTAAACCCTAAACCCTGAACCCTGAACCCTCAACCCTAAACCCTTCAAGGATCGGGACCCATATGGCAAGGCTCGCGCTTTACATATGGTAAGCCCTCTATATCCTGACTGTACTCCCTTCGAACCTTGGGTTTAGGGTTTAGGGTTTAGGGTTTAGGGTTTAGGGTTTAGGGTTTAGGGTTTAGGGTTTAGGGTTTAGGGTTTAGTACTCCCACGGCCCCACCCAAGGTCTCAGGCCCATGCGGGACCAGGCAGATCACGGACATCGGGATCATGGGCGTCAGCGAGTAGCCATAAACGCAGATCACCTGGCTTAGGGTTTGGGGGTTTGGGGGGTTGGGGGTTTGGGGGTTTGGGGGTTTGGGGGTCTGGGGGTTTGGGGGTCTGGGGGTTTGGGGGTTTGGGGGTTTAGGGGATAGGGTTTAGGGTTTAGGGTTTAGGGTCTAGGGGCGACGGAGACCATGCAGGCACTGTCAGCATCGTGCATAACGTGCCCAGCTCCTTCAAGCCAGAGTCAAACCAAAAGCCCTAAATCCCCCCTAAGCCCTAAGCCCTACCGTAAACCCTAAACCCTCAAACTCTAAAACCCTCATCGTTTTTCGAAAGCCTCATCGTTTTTCGAAAGTCCCCGACCCGGACCCAGCTGCTGAGGACCTCTTGCCACATCATTCCAGGCGCTCTGCACTTCTTTAGGTCTAGAGGGTTCAGGCCTTAGGGTTTAGAGGGTCCAGAGGGCTTGGAGGGTTAGAGGGCTTAGAGGGTTCGGACGCTCCCCCCGCTCCGGGTTTAGGGTTTAGGGTTTAGGGTTTAGGGTTTAGGGTTTAGGGTTTAGGGTTTAGGGTTTAGGGTTTAGGGTTTAGGGTTTAGGGTTTAGTCCTAATCTCCCTCAAAAAAAGGGGAGCCTGCTTGAAGTTGATGCTGTCAACCGACCTGGTTGGAGAAAGGCGGAAAGGCCACATCTTGAGGCTGTGCCAGAGGCTCTTGCCTGCTAGGATTTACTCCTCGCTCTGACCCTCTGGGATTTTTTCTGAAAACCCTAAACCCTAAACCGTAAACCGTACACCGTAAACCGTAAACCGTAAGCCGTAAACCGTAAACCCTAAACTAAACCCTCTTAAACCCAGCGAGGTAAAGATAACATCCAAAGGTCCTAGTTTAACATCCGGGTTGAGGTGCCCCGCCCTCCGCCCCCACCCTCCGGCCTCAAATTCTGGGGCTTCTTCGGGTGGTAGACCCGTAAGCCTCCTCAACCCTACACCTTCAGGCTGGGATCTTGGCATTCGGGGGCCGGCACCCCACATCCTAAACCCCCCGTCATCCCAGAAGCCTGCGAGTTTACACCCCAAGCCCATTCCCGCAAACAAAAGCCAAGTAGGGTTTTGGGCTAAGGGTGTTGGAACTCTTCTACCCTTTTATGGCACGGAAGACTTCTGTAGGTGTGTCGGGACTAGTCCGAAAAATCTGAAAAGCAAGACGAGCTCCAGAGGAAACGCCCTTGCGAAAAACATATACATCCTTGTCGACTACAGTGGGCCATGTCATGGATGCTTGTGCAACGAACACCTACGTACCGGCAAAAAGCCCGAAGTCCTCATCCCATGAAAAGTACGCAACCCTGAAACTACCATCCCAAGGGCCCTACACACTAAACCCTAATGCCTAAACCCTACACCCTAAACCCTAAACCCTAAACCCTAAACGCTAAACCCTAAACCCCAACCCCTCACTCCTCAAGTGCAGGCCAAGCGGCTGCCCTGAGCAGTAAAGCCCCAGCCGCGTGACCAGCGGAACGCCCACCAGGAGGCCGTAGACCATGGAGGCGGCCTAGGGTTTAGGGTGTATGGTTGAGGGTTTAGGGATTAGGGTTTAGGGTTTTGAAGGGTTTAGGGTTCAGGGTTTCAGTTTTGCGTTTCGTCTCGAGTTTAGGGTATTTGAAGGGGCTTCAAGGTGCTTGAAGGGCTTCGGGCTTGTAGGTTCTGATGTTTTAGGGGCTTAGGGTTTTGAAGTTGTTGTTTAGGGTTCAGGGTTTAAAGATTGAAAGTAACGGGTTGAAGTGTTTAAAGGCTTTGAAGTTCAGGCATTATAGCATATCGAGTTGAAGGATTGCTGTATGCTTTTGACTTGGGGTGCTTGGTCTCTTAGAGGATATATGCAAAAGCTGCAACGGGCTTAGGACTTCTACGGTTACCGCTGCCTGCGATTCATTGTGCTCAGGGCGTAGGGCTGTCTTCATCGAAGCATCCCTATAGCTGCTTCAAGAAGCCTAAACCCTAAACCCTAAACCCTAAACCCTAAACCCTAAACCCGAAACCCGAAACCCGAAACCCTAGTATAGGGGCTGCAGCTTCACCATGGTGAGGTCTGAAAGTTCGGGTTTCAAGGATGCTTGTGTGTTGCATGGCCATTGCTAAACCCTAAACCCTAAACCCTAAACCCTAAACCCTAAACCCTAAACCCTAAACCCTAAACCCTAAACCTTAGAAGTGCTACTGTAAGCTGCCAAGCATAGGACATGTCTACCATGGAGCTCTCTGGGCAGAGCCGTCGATCACAGTGCCTACTACGAATTGCTTAAGAGAACCCCCCAAAGAAGAAAAACATATTCTTCCTTATTAAGGGCAATATAGGGATTAGTATGTTTTACTCTTTTGGGGTTCTTAAGCCAATAGTAGCTTAAGGCGTGGAGAACAGGCATCCCTGAAATCACGTGAGGAGGTCCCTAGGGGTGTTGGTGCCCGAGGCTTGGAACTTCGAGAACCTTTCAAGGGCGAAATGAACCCTAAAAGGGTTTTATGGTTCATATACCTTAATAGGGATTATGGTAGTATAGGGTTTAGGGTTCATATACCTTAATAGGGATTATTGTAGTATAGGGTTTGGGGTTCGTACACCTTAACAGGGATTATAGTGGTATAGGGTATATGACCCCAATTTTAGGGTTCCATTTGATCCCCAAGGAAAGCCACCAGCTTCGGATAACAACCTCGTCCCCACCAGCCACCAGCCACAGTCCACGCATCCGGTGCGTTGGCCTTCTAAACCCTAAACCCTAAACCCTAAACCCTAAGCCCTAAACCAAAAGCAAACCCTAAAACTGCGGCACTGGCCTGGGGCCCAGGCCACGCTGACCAGGGAGTAGTCGGACTTGAACTGCGAGGACTCTCTAATATGGTCAAACGAGATGCATTAGGAAAGAAGCTTGCTTGCATTCGTTTCTGTACAGAATGGCTCGGACCCGAAACCCCCCTCATCTCCAGCAACGCATTCATGCGGGGGGTTTGCCTCGACAGCCGGGTACTCCTCGGTAGCCGCGGGAGTGGAGACGAATAAGGAAGGAAAGGCTAACATTCCACACCACTAGGGCGTAAGGGTCAAGGTTTTAGAGAGTGTCTTTCAGTTGGCGGGAAAGTGGATTCGTCGTGCTGCTAACATCATATCACGGACTGATCCGCAAGCTTTTTGTTCATCTCAGAAACTTTCTCTGCACCATCGATCCAAACCCCAACCGGCAACACTCTGCTGAAGCTGCAGAAGCAGTCATTTCTCACTTGTCCGCGAGTCGTTCACCTGGCCTTCTTTCCTGTGACAAAACCCTAAACTCTAAACCCAAAACTCGCAAAAAAATAAAAACCTAAACCTTGAAATCACCCAAAAAAAATGAAGCCAAAAAAGCCTAAACCCCCCAAAACCCTAAACCCCCAAACGACCTAAAACCCTACACCCAAAAGCCCTAAAACCGCAAAAAAACCTAACGCCTAAAACTGAGAACACTAAACCCCAAAAACCAAAAAAAAACTTAAAACCCCCAAAACCCTGAACCCTGAAGCCCTAATAAAACCCTAGCTTCGTGCAAGGCCTTCCACGTTTGGGGTTTGGGGGTTTAGGGCTGTCCTGAAGTTCTGTTCCCTTCCCTTTTCACCTCGTTGTCTTCGAATTTACAAGCCCGAGCCTGACAGAAATTGAGCCCCAAAACCTTAAGTTCCTCAACCCTGAACAAAGCCAGGCAACCTCCGTCTCGAGTAGTCGGGCGAAGTTCCCTGTTGCCTGGCTTGCTAGGAAAGCGCTTAGCACCCTCTGAAAAAATAGTCCTAAGTATTATCCTGTGGAACAAAAACAGGGGAAAGATGGAATATCCTAAGGGCCTACCCTGCTTGATGGCGGCCTGAAGCAAGAAGGTTGCGAGGTATGGCATCAGGCCTTCACGATGGCGTATGTCTGTGGAACCCGTGACCCTGAAACCTCACAAGTCAATTCTGGTGCGTTCTCACGGTCGCTACAGCGCGTAGTCATCGATTGTGCAAAAACTGCATAACTTTGCAAGGCAAGATCTGAACATCTCAAAGTACAGACCAGGAGGAGGAATCATTGTTTCAAGCTATGCATATTCTTGTAAATAGATATACAGGTTGCTTGAAAAACGGGTGAGGTAATCGGGGAAGTTATGCTATGGGCCCGTGTTCAAGCAGGAGCCTGAGGGAGTTCAAACTCCATGACCTCAACCCCCCCCCCCCCCCCCCCCCCCAAAAAAAAAAAAAAAAAACTGATCCCAAACAGCCCGCCAGCGTTGCTGCCAAGAAGAGCACCGCTGTAGTGGCGACCCAGAAGGGTCCATAGAAGTCCGGCCTGCAGCATTTCAGGATTGAGGGTCCTAGCCCGACTTCGTCCTCCAAAGACACGAGCTTCAGCCTGCAATTTTGGTGAGTCCTGCCTGCACACTAGGTTTAGGGTTTAGGGTTTAGGGTTTAGGGTTTAGGATTTAGGGTTTAGGACAAGCCACAACCCTTTGCCGGTTTCGAGTTCAGGGACAAAGCTGCGCCTCGAGCGGAGATCTGATGAGGCCGCATCCAGTCCCTGCCAGCAGTTGTTCCACCGCGGTGAGACTCATCTGGAGGTTTCCGAAAACCGGGTTTAGGGTTTAGGGTTTAGGGGTACCTTGTTGGGGTCCTTATTATAAGGGAATCCGACAATTTGGGGGTCTATATTGAGGGGTCCCCTATTCTCCTAAACCCCCATTTTTGAAGATCCAGATCGCAAGATCGATCCCCGGCACCCAAGCCCAAGCACCCAACGAAGTTCAGGCGATAAACAGCCCAAAGAGCCCAATATCCCTTAATTAGGGAATATTGCTTAAGTTATATAGGGATCCTCAATATGATTTAAGGAATATTCCTTACTTAAGGGATATTGGGCTCTTTGGGAGCATGCCAAGGGCCTGGAACGGCACAAGCGACAGCTTTAGTCGCTTGATGACGTCTTCGGAACCTCTGGCAAGAGCAGGGCGTTGGGGTTTTGGCTTGTACGAGTAGGGCTTAGGAGTATTGGAGGATCAGGGTCTCTTAACAGAACACATCGTTCGCGAAAATGCGCTGCGGAAAAGAAACGAAACAAGGACACTAGCCGTGATGCGGATCTTCACGTAGCCATTGGCGACTGCGAAACACCTGAGGCCACGACTGATGTCGAACATCTGCTGCGCATATGACAGCATGGAGCCTGCTAACACGGAAAACAAACTGACAGCGTGCTATCAATTGCTCGCAACAATGCCCTGCCCTGCTCTTGTCTACCTGACCCATTGCTGATAATACTTGTCCTTAGTAGAGGGATCCTCCCCTAAAACAAGGGTACAAGGAGGGGCCCCCCTTAGTTACAAGGAGGGTTATAAGGACCCTAACTTGGGTTATAAGAATCCGAAATCCGCCGAGGCCTCGGGCCGAAGGTGTATTGGTAGTCAGAACAGCCCTTCCCAGCAGGGCCCCCCCCTTTTTCACTGCCCACCCACCCTTCCCCCCCCCCCCCTTACCCCCCCCCCCGCCCCTACCCCCCCTACCCCCCCCCCTACCCCCCCCCCCCCCACCCCCCCCCCCCCTCCTTACCCCCCCCCCCCTACCCCCCCCCCCCCCCCCCCTACCCCCCCCCCCCCCCCCCTACCCCCCCCTACCCGACCCCCCCACCCCCCCCTACCCCCCACATAGTCCCTCCCCCAAAAGCCACATGAGCGGCTGGGCTAATGGACGCAACAAGAGGGGCTTGATGTTTGTAGGTGTCGCTTTTGCACACCCAATGGTTCATAACCTAGGGGTGTCGCTTTTCAAGTGTTCCCATCGTTTTACAGGGTTTTCCCCTTGCTTAATTGAATGGCTGGGGGTTTTGGCGCTTGCTCACATAAGGTGTTTGTGAAAGGCTGCTCCGACGCGCTGGCTTGAGGGCCGGAGGCTCACTGGTGTGAGCACGGCCGCAAATCCGCCGAGGCCTCGCCCCCTTTCCCCCCCCCACCCCCCCCCACCCCCACCTCGCCCCCCGGTTTTCGAGGCTCAACTCCGGGGACGAAGAGTAACCGAAACCCGAAACCTTCAATCTTAGCTCCCCCCCCCCTTTCCCCTCTGCCCCCCTTCCCCCTCCACCCCTACCCCCCCCTGAGGGGCCTGGCTCAACCCTACGATCAATCCAAGCCGAACCGTCTCTTGAACCCTAAACCCAAAGCCCTCAATCCTAAACTAACCCTCAACCCTAAACCCCAGACCATAAACCATAAACCCGGAACCCTAAACCCGACTTGGGCGCTGCGGAATCACCATGCTCACGCGGATGCGCTGGGCCGGGCCGAGGTGGGTCGCGTAGCGTTAAAATTAGGGTATAAGTCCCTAAACTATGCTTAGTATAGGTAAGGGGGCCCCTCCTTGTAGCGGAAAATTTCAGGAAACTTAGAGGCTCGATGGTGATAGGCGCAGCCTTGGGTTGCCCCTTTAACGGCTCTTTACGAGCGTCCAGCTTAAACGTCTGGTTAAGAAGTGCGGAGGCGTCGGATCAGCACAGTACTCCTCAACCCTAACCCTAAACCCTAAACCCTAAACCCTAAGCCCTAAACCCAGCTCCGGCTCAGGCTTAGGGACTCGGCTCATGAGAGGGGCCCAGTTCACCCTCCCTAAACCCTAGACCTCAAACCCTAAACCCTAAACCCTACATGGGAAGCCACCCTCCCTTCCTGAACGTGCATGAACCCTTCGGCAAGAAGGGGCTCTTGGGCTCTAGGATGCGTTAGATCTCGGGGTTCCACCTTGGACCCTTGGGTTTAGGGTTTAGGGTTTGGGGTTTAGGGTTTAGGGTTTAGGGTTGTACCCTTGGGTTTTGGGGTCCCTTTCTAAGGATCCCTAAGGGCATACAAGGGTCAATATTCTGCCGCATTCCGGGCATAGGGTTTTGGGGTTCAGGTTTCCGGGTTTAGGGCTTTAGGGTTTTAGGGTTGCGCGTTTAGGGTTTTAGGTTTAGGGTTCGTAAGTGTAGGGCTTGCGCCTGCCCAGCCCTGTACGCCAGCGGCTCCCTCCTGGCGCTGA